TGGCTGCAGCAATCAGCCGGTGCTTGCAGGTAGGGTGGGGCCACTGGCGCTCTCGCTTGCCCCCCCTGCCCATTGCCTAAGCTGCAAGTGTGGCCAGTCAGGGGGTGCACTGGCACTCTCAGGGGGTGCACATGCAACCCCTATGTATCACCACTTTTGCAAAGAATGAATCAATTCAGGCTAACACTTTTTGAATGTCTGTCCCTAGCCTTGATGGTTAACCCTTGAGAAACCACAAGGTGGCCTTTGCTTCTCCTACCATTCCAAAGCATCCTAGTTTCCCCCAAAAAACACTATTAATAAAGGCTTCTTGGCCTTCTATACATCCTTTTCTCAAGTATTATGTCACTATTCCATCCCCACTGTATTTGTATGGATAAAGTTTCTGAAATATTTTGAAGTAACATTTAACTTATGTCTGATCTGCATTTGTGTAATGTCAGTCTCTAAACAATTCCTTTTGTTACTAGAGACTTCAATCAGGAAGATTGTAACTTTCAGGAAAGTTCTTAAGCTTCATCAGCTGATTATAAAGAGTGGCATAGAAAGATATAAATGATAGCAATTCTCCTAAAATCAAAACCATTAGACTTTTAGCAGGTCCTTTATCAAAAAGCTGAGCAAGCACAGATGCTGCAGAGCAGTTTAAGAGTTGTTGAATAAAAGAACACAGCTTCACTCTGCTCTGATCCTATTAGTACAGGCCTTTATCAAACAAGATTTTCTTTGCTTCAGAATTTAAGGGAGTAGATTATAGAAGACTGTTTCAGATTTTGTTTCCTCTTCATTTCGTGACAAAAGAAAATTAAAGGTAAGGTTGAAAGTTTGTGAAAGACTTCAGGTATGTTTCCATTACTTAAGTTGGGTAGGGGGTGGGGTGTAGAATGTTAAAGTATCCAAAAACCAAACTGTACAAAGAGGGAAATTCAAGAGTAGTGATACTTAAATGGAATCCAAGTATGTGAAGGTATAAAAATATACAGTGTAGTCATCTAAACAACTTTAACTTTGCTCATTGGTGATGCTATGTAATAATAACATAAAGCAACCAGCTCTACTAGTTTCCTAAAGGTTGTGTCCCGGCATCCTAGGACTCCCTGAAATGGGGTTTCATTACAGATTTTGAATATCCTACTGTGTCAACTGAGATGATGCAGCAAATGTTGCCTGCTGCTATAGAAACATAATTATCCTGTCTTCAGGTCAGGAAGTAGCCTCTGTCCAACCCCTGGCCAGTTAATTAGCTCTTCCCCCTAGCAGATGTAAAGAATGCTATATTGCTTAGTTGTGGTGCGGTGGCACATGGAAGGTTGCCTGTGCCTAATTGGCAGGTTAGCCCATCCATAGTGTCTTACTATAATGGCTAATATAACCAGAACTAAAAATGGTGTCAGTTACTCTGAATCTGAAGGTGCACAGCATGCTCCCTTTGATCACTTCAGCCATACCATTACATCATTTAAATGTGTGCTGTCCTGCATTAGGATAACTGAATTAATTTCTATTGATTTTCTTTTTTCCTTGCTACTTTCAATAAGAATTGCAGGTACAGTTCTCAATTGTTTTCTTTCAACTGGATGACCTTTTTTTTAATGCAAAAATAAAAATAAAATTAGCAGAAAGTAGGGCAGGGTTGCACCTTAGAGAGTAATTGGTTCATAGGGAGATGAACTTCTTATAGGCAATAGCCTACTTCATCAGATGCTATAAATGTCACCTGTTCACCTGTGAACGCTCATGCCTTCCTGAGCAATTTAGTCTCTACAGGTATGGGCATATGTACATCTGGAGCTGGTTCAGAAGGGCACCAGCTGTTATGTTCTAATTGTTATGTATGGACAAGCAGGAAACAATACAAATGTAACATAACCATTCTGCTTTTAACAGTACCTCATCCAGTTTTAAAGATGGACCACTTTTGCTACATTTGTATTATTCCCAGCTTGTCAACACGAAAAAAATTAAAATATAATAGCTGCAGCTCCTTTGACCATTCCCCTTTTGAAACAGCTCCAAATGGACATGTGTCCATATCCTAAGGTACACCCTGCCCTATACCTACCTGACTTCAAACTAAGAAAGCTAGCCACCTCTCTGTACAAAGAAGGGAAAGCAAATGCATTTGCCTGACAGATGCTGTAAAATGCCTTCATAAAATATTCCATCCTTCAGTTTCTCTCTCAAATATTACAGCTTACTAATAACTTATTTTCTTATTTGAGTAAATATGATCATATTCACTGATATTGTTGTTTGGTTGGGTTTGGTTGTATGGTGGGAGGAGAAATTATTGTTTATATTGTTAACTGAAAAGTTAGAAATAGCAACACTTTATTGCTTTTGTCTCCGCTAAATGCCCAAGTAGGTTCCCCTATTAGGCCTCAGGAAAAAGTTTTAATAATCACTTTTTTACCAAATCTATTCATCATTTTTCATTATTATCAGATTATCCCATCTGATCAGACTCACTGTTATTTTATACCTGCAATAGCTTGGTAACAAACTTTCCTTTCTGAGTACTGATTATTCTGATTTTTTTTTTTCTTAAAACCAGTTCATGCTTTCTTAGTTGGCAGCACTCTCACTTGAGTGCTTAGTTACCAGCACTCTCACTTGAACCATGCACATGCAAGTTGGCAGCATGTCCAGTGTTCAGGCAGCTGAACAATTTGAATAAATTACTTTCAGATAATTGATATTTTTTCTATTGAATGTGTTTTAATCCAATTCAGATTATTTGCTGGGGGGGGGGGGGGTTATTTTCCATTGAGTTATTGATGTAAGTTAAACATATAACTCATAAAAAGTCGAGATGATACCAGGTCATTTTCAACTTTCCTTTGAATCTGCAAAAAAACGTTCTGCAAATATATATGGCAACATACTACTAGAATTTCCAAAGCATTAGAAGAGGCTTGAAACAAACTGAACATTTGGGGTATGACCAAATATCTTTTCCGACTCCATCCAAAGTTCTGTTCTGAGAACAGTTTTTGCACCCATTTAGAAATGGACTAATTTGGTTTGAAATTACTTCTAGTATTTTTGTGAATTTAACAAAAATCTGTAATCATTCCTTACTAAATATTTCAAGTATAAAATTGTCCTGGATTCTGATGCACCAGAATATGGAGGCCATCAAAGACTGGATCATGGCACAGAATACTTTACTGAACAGTATCCACATAATTATCAACCTAATTCACTTTTGGTAAGTAACATTTTTCTTTCTAGTGTAGTAAAAGCTCTGTTATCTGGCATCCATGGGGAATGGAGGGTGCCGGTTAATCAAATATGCCAGTTATCTGAGAGTTATACTTAGTCATAGTTGCAGGATGGGTGATATATTCAGCAGTAAAGTCATGATACAGCACAAGCACAATGCTATCACAATGGCGGGTTTTTACAATTGAGACTGCCGCTAGCAGCACCGCTCAGCAGTATCCTGAAGCTTCCATAAACAACAGGTCTATGAAAAGCGCATGGCAAGATGTATTGCTGTCTATGACAGATGCTGGTTAATAGAGCATTCCAGATGGTAAAGTGCCGGATAACACAACTTTTACTGTAGATAACTAACTTTTAAAGTCATAACTTTCAAAGTAATTTTGAAGTATTTGTCATTGACTGAAAAGAACTCTAGATATGTTTGAGTATGTACTTGGAATGTTTTTCAAAAATGCCCTTTGCATGAAGACAACAACTGAAATTAAAGGTTATTGGTGATGATGTTCTGATTGGTTTTATGACTTTAATGCAAGTATTTTTTTTACATTTTTAAGTTGCATGCATCTTCATAGGACAAACTTACCATGCTATAAAGATTATTTGCAGAGAAACACGCATGAAACCATTTTATCAGGCATTTGACTTGTGCCACTGTGAATATTATCATTCATTTGCTTCATTTTCATTTTTTAATAACCTGCATGTTTGTGTTAACACTGTAGAAACTACTGTGTACATATAGTTTCATCCCTCCCCTTATTTTTACAAGCAAATCCATAAACACTGGACAATAGAAAATTATGTATTTACAAGAAGTTTCTCTCTCCTCATCTTGCAAAGAGATTTGGGAAGTATATTGCCATTCCTCTGTTCTTTTATTTACATCTATGTGTACATATATGTGTATTATAGATAGATTAATCTACTAATGATATTATAATATACATGATATATCATTTATAATTTATTAATATAGATTCACTCAAGTATCATGTGCGGAGTGATTTGGTCTAAGCCAGGTTTGTAGTGGAAAACTGTTTACATCACCAAAAATACCAACAGAGCTGGCATCTTGCATGTAGACTTGACAGAAGCTAAGATTTGAAAATTATACAGACATGTTTTACTTTCTGCTTCCAGGGTGAGCCGAGTGGGTCAGTACTGAACTGTGTGGGTTTGTCTGGGTGAGAAAGTTTGTACTGTATCTATATACAATAGGTTATATTTTACTATTATTATATAGTAGGCTACAGTGCATCCCTGAGAGTGACAATAATGTTTCTGCTTGTGCCATATACCTTCCACAGTTAAATGGGAGGACTTCAGTCCCCAGAGTCATCACTTGGGACCTTACTTAAACAAAAAAAATTGATTTTATACATTGATGAGCGCGAGAAGGTTTTGTATATTTTTTCAGGCTATCAACATTTTTAAAGTACATTTCATTACAGAAAAAGATGACTTTCTAGGCACCTTGCATCAGCTTTTTTAAGGCGTTACTGAACATTTTTTCTTTTTTTGTAAATATCTAAGCATCACAGGGTTTTTATGGTGCAGGTAAGTATTTACACTCATTTTACACATAGGGAAAAGTGCAGATCGAGATGGCCTCCCTCAAGGTCCTATAGTGCTCCAGAAATCCTAGCTTCATCCCAGTCCAATCTACTATCTTGGTGAAAATTAACATTCCGCTGCTTTACTACTAAAATAACAATTGTGAGCCTTATTAACCTCAACTTGGAATTTAACTACTACATTCAGATGACAAATACAGCAAATTAAAAAAAAATAGCTTAATGTAACTTGCAAAGGTGAAATCTGGTATGAGCATGTGGAAGATAAAGCATGTGACATGCCAATAAGCAAAACGGCTAATACGTCCTTACAGCACAAGCTCTGGCATGGCAATGGCACTTCTGTGTCAGTAGAAAACCAGAGTGTGTGGGTCACATTGCTTTCTTGTATCTCCCAGAGAGCCAATTCACAGACCAGCTTCGATGGCAAGCCCAGAAGATGCTATCTAAACCACCTACAGGTAAAGTGGCACCAGTAACCATGGTGGGGAAAATGATGATAAAAACAATGAGACAAAATGTTAGCACTTAAATAAGGCAGAATCTGTTTGGTTGTTTAAACCTTCCATAACTATTTTATGGTTAAGCCTTTACAAATATCAGTTAAGATCCCAATTTTTAGTTAATCGTTTCTCTTTGTTTGAGGACTGTTAGATATTACTTGAGATTTTTCAAATCTAACTAGATAATTTGACCTTACAGCTTCCATTAAAACTAATCAAAGTTGTGTAGCTAAATCTCTTTTAGCCAGCATTTAAAGTTTAAATATTTTTTAAATAGTATTAAATTAGCTTGTTCTTTTGAACTAAAATTTCCGTATTTTAAAAATATGAATTATTCTCAGTTATAAGAAACTTTTATTATGATATGCAGTCATTAAGTAAGGTTGCTCCCAGAAGCTTTAAAAAAAAATTAAAATAAAGCCCATCTGCAGAAGGTGCTCAGAACCCTATACAAAAGAATAGAATCATATGCAAAATCATATGTAGTAATAACCATGCAAGATTACACAAATATAGGTATCTAATTTAAAATGGGAGATAATGTGGCATATGTCACTCTAAAGAATGTCATTTTTTATAGCGTATAAAACTGAGGAAGAATTAAGTAGAGCATACCTAGAGGGAAGAAAAACATGAAAAGTGACATCTGCAACATAAGTACATAGGTACATTGAGATGTTAGATTTCTATTGGCCTAACTAGGGTTAGGTTAATCTAAGTGCCAATTTGTACTGATGTTCGGGGATGTTAAATTAGGCCAGCCATTTTTTGCCCAATCTAAATTATTCACCTGAGGAGGTGTACTAAGTTAGATGAGGAATGGGTTAGCCTAATCTACCAAACATCTGCACATGTTCAAAGCTCATTCCCAGGGCTGGAAAAGCCCAGTTTCTTGCCCCAGCCTGGGGCTGCCTTCTAACTACTCCTCCAACCCTAACCGAACCATTTTAGCCCCGCAACTCCCCACCACTAGATGGACAACTTCCACCCTCCTCTCCACCCCTGCCAAACCAGCTTCCCTGTGGATAAGTTGGTCCCTGCTCTGATCCTGCCTGCCCGTTTCTTCACCAGATTACTGAGATTGGGTTTCTGGCATAACTCCTAGCACTATTAAATCTGTACACAAGCTGCTCCCGATTTACTATCACATGGGTTAAAGAAAGCTGCCTGATCATAAATCAGGTGTGATAAAAGTTTGCATGTACGCTTAGAGTTGGAGAATAACTTTGGTCATCGGCAGAATACAAGCAAGCTGATGATATGTGAGCATAGGTAACTGTGATAACTGTAAGGGCTAGGTTTCAAAACCACTGAGAACTCATTTATAAAACCTTATCTAACTTGATTATAGCTTGCTAATTTTGCCATTTTGCTACTCATCCCTATTTCTGGCTGATTGGTAAACAGATTAAACATAATTCTAAAATGTAACCTTATGTAACTTCCCATTGTTTTAAGTGTTTGCCATGATGCAAACTGGCCTACTAGTATTTTTATTTTCTATTACCTGGTTGCTAATCTTTGACAGTACCTTATCCCATGACTTTTTCCCTAATAGACTAATTTCAAAGGTGTTATAAATGTTTGTGCATTTCACCCATTTGTTTTAAAATGGTCTGGCGAAGGGGAATGGAGATGTAATTAAAGTTCCTGCTAGTTGTAATTGATAGCATATTAATTGTATTTCCAGTTATGTTAAATATACCTGATATTCCTTTACTTGCAAAGGAGACATGGAACTTATCAGCTGGTAATGCATGTATGGGTGACTTTGGCATTTCAAAAGAAGCAAAAATAGAACATTGATGTAAAAGGTATTTAAAACAATGCCTATCATTAGTTTGGTTACTAACATTAATTGCAGTCAGAAAATGGGACTTTTAATGGAAGTTGATTTATAAAATGGAATAAGAGAACAGTAAATCTTTTGACTGTTTAGGGCTTTCCTTAGCAATCTTTCCTGCATACAAGAGAATATTGTACCTTACATTACAAAACAAGTTCTATATTTCATCATGTACTTCTGTTAACAGCTCTTCCCTACTTCAGAGCATCAACAGTGGCCACTAAGCTATTGTACATGGCAGTTGCCTAATATAACTATAGAAGCTTATGTAGATTTCTAAGTGTAGATATTTTGCTAGCATTTTTTGTCCAGAGTAACGTAATGTGCTGCAGTCTATGTTCAGTAAGTTGTCTACAGGAATACTGACCTTCTGATAAGTCATTGGCAAAATGGTATAGATTTTATTTTTTTTTAATTAATAAAAAAAATAATTGGGTCAGTAAAACTTGAGCACAGGGAGGAGTTCATTTTCTTGAGTTGTGCCAAAAACATCTTGAAAAAAATACTTTTAAAAGAACTAGTCAATTTATTTTATGTACTGACCCAGATACATTAAAGCATCCTATACCTGCTTATTTAAGGTATCTGACTATGTTTTATTTTAATAAAACTGAATGTGAATTGCTGTTAAGAAAATCCTTATTGATGCTTTTCACCTTGTTTCTAGACTTATAATACTCAATATTAGCACGCAGTTTTCTGCACCCTAGAGACAATTGATAGACAAAAGCACTCTTGTAGCCTGAAATGCACTTGGAGACCCTAAGCTTTGAATATAGTGATTTGAATAACTTCCATGAGAAGGATTTGTGTATTGACTTTTAAGGGTCTGATGTAGGCTTTAACTGACTGTTTCTCCCCCCTTCCACCCCCTGCGCATAAAGATTATGGTGAAGAAGCTTTGTAGTTGGAAAATTAACTGATTTAAAGGGGAATGGGATAAATCTTTAATACCAGCAAGCTCTTTTGATATTTTACCTCCTGTTGTGTACCTGATTATTGAGGCTTTCTACATTTTATTCACTCTTGTACATAGATTATTTGACTTCTGAAGGAAAGAAAAACAGTGTAGAATGACTTCGAAAACAGTGTGCTTGCCATGCTTTCCAAAAATTCACAATTTTAAATAAATAACACTGAAGAATAATAAAGCAATTTGGGTTTAAGAGTTATTGGTTGTAGTTGTGTTCATCTAAGGACATAGGCAGACAATTGGGTTGATGCGGTATCTTGTATTAGGCCAAATAAATAATTGGGAAAATTGTTCTTTGTAAGCTTTCAGGCACAAACACCCTTCTTCAGGCATAAGGAGAATTTGATGTTGTTTGTGTAATACTTGGAAGTTACTTTACCTAAATTAACTGAGACAATTCTGAAAAGTGAGTTTCTGCATATTCATATATTATATCATTTATAGCTGTAAATTATACAACAAATGGGAAACAAACTTCATTTTAAGTGCAGCTTTTCTCCCATTTTAGTAAGCAACTGGAAATCATGTTGTATGTGTAAAAGGTTTAGTCAGGTGCCTGATTAAAATGATTGACCATCACACCAAGACCTTCAACATGTATGTCTAGGCAAAAGTATGGAGGAGTGGGGGCTGCCCAGGATCTACCATCCCCATCCTCCTTAGACCACTGAGAGAGAGTCCGAAGGCCAAACTGAGTCCAGAAGTTCAATGCCTTAATGGTTATAGCTTCTGCCAGAGAGCAAAAGATAAGAACTGCTGTTGACTGCCTAATGCCTCAGCAAGGGCACATTTTTGTTAGGGTAATGTCCCCTTAGCCTTTCTCCAACCAAGGAGTACCCACAAGGCAGTGGGGCCTAAGGTTTTGAGGTGCCCTCTACTCTACCTTACTCTAGAGATTGAAACATTGTGATATTTTATAGGAGCTACCCTGCCATGAATAGCCCCACCATGTTGCCACCAGGCATCCAGTTAGATGCAGTTTATAGTTATACCCAGGACCATCTGCCATTTACTATCTTACAAAATGTTACTTAAAATATATTTGAGATTACAAAAAACAAATCATGTGCATAAATGAAACTTATTTAGTTCTTTAATCACTGATGGTTAATTCTGTTTTCAGTACAGTATCAGTGCCAGCTAAGAGCAGTATAGATGTATGGTCCTCTCCTTGGACCATAACCTAGTCATAGTGGAGAGGCTTCCAATGACCCTCAGAGCTATGTCATTTGGAGTCTTATACTGCTGGTAAGGTCTCCCCTGATGAACAGATTTGAGGCAAGATCCCAGACTAAGCATGGTCCAAACTCCTGAAGACCCCAATGGCAGAACAGGCATACTTGAGGACTATATTAGTGCCAGAGCCTGTGATCATACCAATGTTGATATCACTTGAGTCCAGATGACTGCTGAATGGATCACCATTTAGTCAGATCAATCAGGGACATGCAGCTTGCGCCACAATACTGTAAACAATTGAAAGGAATGCAGAAGAGATTTAACATCAAGGCACTCCAAAACCAAGCTAGATACAAGGCTCTTCAGCAATGCCTTATTGAGAGGCTGTCTGACCTACCTGACAACATCAAGGACATCCAGGAACATAGGAAGGAACTTAAGAATGTTATTCACAAGGCATGCACTGAATCAATTGGATATGCCTCTTACCATCACCAAGATTGGTTTGACAAGAATAATGAGGAAACCCTAGCACTTATCCATCAGAAGAGAATCATGTTCTAAAGTTGGCAAAATTAACCCTCCAGTATGACTACCACACAGTCCTTGCAGTGGATCAGAGACAGACCCATGTACCATCTGTAATGGTGTCAAGTGGGGCTGTGTCATCACCCCAACCCTTTTCTCCATCTATCTTGCTGTGATTTTGATTCTCATCCATAACCGCCTTCCTCCTGGAATTGGGGTTGAGTATTGAATGGTTGGTCAACTTTTATTTTGCTGTGGAGGCACCACAGGTTGAAAAGTTACCAAGACTGGCATCACCTACCTTCAATACACTGATGACTGTTATCCTCATGTACACTGAGACCAATCCGCAGTCCACCCTCGACCTTTTTTCAGGTGTTTATCATAGCTTGGGACTTTTTTTTTTTTTTTTTTAATATTGGGAAGACCAAG